AAAAAAATTAAAAGGAAGAATTTTCAGTGTTTTATCAGTTTTCACTATAATTATTCAAATATCGATCTATCAAAAAAACACCTGTTGCATTCTCTTATTTTGGCTCGAAAGATGAGAAAAATAAAATAAGCCTAACATATCACGTAGAGAGAATTGAAAGAATCAAACAATAAAACTTGATAATTTGCCAGCTTCATTTGTGTAAGTTGTGGCGAAGTAACCCGAGAAAGCATAAAAAGGAACTGGAAAAAACGAATGAAATATCGGAGGGTTTGAGACCGGCGCCGTTACAACACGAGTAATCCTCGCCTGTGCTATTCAAAAGTTCCTTTTGTATTCAAACACATTTGTCGAGCTAAACTTGGCTTTGAAGTAGGACCCCTTATCGCGAGTTTTCATTCGGTGGCACGCGCATTTAGAAAGGACACACTTTTATTGAAAAACATGGTGCCGCGACTGTTTTTTTTCGCTTTATTCAGCCGCGAGGTTCATACCGCGAGTGTGGCAAAAAGAAGAGCGGCTAAAGTGCAAACATCACGGCGGTTTTTACGATCTTTCTCTTCTGTTCAAAGGTACCGAATTGTCTTCAGTTGTGGCGATTAAATTTTTACCTAAAGGACAAGATCGACCGGTAAACATCATTTAAAAAATTAAGAATACACAAAAGCATGAAAAAATCTATAGGATTGCCTTATTTTTAGCATTACGAAGACCGTTTTTTAAAGCATTGTTTTTCTCGAAATTTCGCAATCTCTTCCTCTTTCTCACTGGGGTTCAATTCCTTTCACTGACTCGGCGAACGCGCGAAACTAACGAAAAGAAAAACTCCTAGAATTTCCCTTGAAAATATTCAATATTTGCTGGTTTTTTCGTTACTATGGTAAACGTCGACGACACACAAGACAGGGATTTGGACGATGAATCATTGATTCAGCAGAGGCGGATGACGATTCCTAAATTCGATAATTCTCTTAACGTATCCTAATTTATTCTTATGCAAATCACTTCGGCGCGAAAGAAAACGTGGGTGGGGTCGGCTGTCAACATTCCAACCACAATACAACAAGAAACGTTGATTCGCTCTAGTAAGCACGGATTTCCGTCAATTGTATTTCATTTCAGCAGCGAAAATATACACAAATTAAGCGCGAAATGTTAACTGAACGTTGCAAGTTACCGGTCAAGGCATCTGACCGTGCAGTACTAGTATTTTAACACATTTGCGGAGGTGTTCTTTGCGCGAATTACTGGTGGTTGAACAGATCATACCGAAAGAATTTGTAAGAACCGAAAGTAGTAACTTGGCCATATATGGATCAGACCTCAGGGGGTTGTTTTTCGTGACAACCAATCACTTAGAAGACCGCTTGAATTCA